AAATATACCTTGTGATTCGACTTGTACCAATCGCCAATGAGAAGCGTGAAGTCATCTTCAGGTGGAGGGAAAGGGACCGGGATTTGGGGTCGGCTGAGAATACGAATCCCGCCAAAACCGCCGGCAGCTTTTTGAAAACCGAGAGAAGGGAAATAGAAGAAGCTTCCGATTTGATCCTTCATTTGCAGCGCGTACGTGTAGTTTTTGCCCGGAGGAATCGGGCAATTCGTACCGTACACACCATCTTGAAATGAGTTCTTTCGGTGCTGTATCCCTTGCCTGCAGTTTAATCCAATAATATCAAAATCCATCTCAATTTTTTTCTCTCTTTTCTTTCTTCCATTTGCTCAAATTTTCATAAAATTATATGAATATCCAAAAAGATTCATAAAGAGACATTCAAATGGGATTTATTTTTTATAACCTAACCTCTCAAAAACATTATCTTCTGTATATTAGTGACTCAAAACTCCTAAAGATTGAATTTTTTTGGCACAAAAATTGAAAAATCAAACTAGTTAATTACCATGAGAGAAGGAAGGGCTCGTCCAAATTGTTGAGCACGTTGATTATAATGTTATCATTTGTGACAGCAAATATTTCGGGCCCAGGAAATTGCCCATTTATCAGAATCCCCTGCACTCAGCGACACACAAAAAATAAGTACAAGAATGTTAAGAAAAAAAAAAAAATCACTTGAAGAAGAGGAATACAGACCTGTTGACGAACGCCTAAAGGGTAAATGTCACCATAAGTTACATTCCAAGTCAAAAACCTGTAAGGGTTTTCACCACACACAACTGTGACAGCACAAAAGATGGTAACCAAAGCAAATTTCCACATTCTTTTTGTTTTTTTCTCCTAAAGATTGATTTTTTATGGCACAAAACTCCTAAAGATTGAATCTTTTTGGCACGAAACTGAAAAAGAACTCAGCTTTTGTATGTATTGAGTTAGAAACTATGTGAGCACACAGAGGATTGTGAATGGATGAGTTAAATATAGGTGGGTTTGAGTGGAGAAAAAGGTGGAAAAAAACAGTAATTATTAATTAAATTAATAAAAAAATAAAAAATATGAACTGTAAACAGAATAACATGCAGAGTTCATGAAGATGGAAGAAAAAGAAGAAGCAAAAAGGGGTCAAGTAACAAATTTGCGTCAACCAACCATTACGTGGAGTGGGGGTGAGGTGGTTGGCACCCCTTGATAAATGTACAACCTTTTGTAGCCTAAGGTACAACAGCAGGACTGCATCCCGTGATACAAATGACAAGAATGCCCTTGTTTCTCTCAAAGCCGTGTTTTTTCAACGTGATCTGGATTAATGAGATGGTTTTTTTTATTATTTTATTTTATTCTGTATTTTCAAATATTGAGTGTGGATTGGAGCTGGAAATTTTGGCGCGTCCGTGATTAATGACGGGGCACACGGAGTGNAAGCCGTATTCAGTGAATACGGTTTTTGAATTTTTTATTTGTAAAACGTATTCTGTGAATACGGTTTCCTTTGTAAAAAAAATGTAAAAAACGTATTTAAGGAATACGTTTTCTAATTAAATTACACAAAAAACGTATTCACTAAATACGTGCTTTCTATGTTGGTCCACTCCCCCCCTTTTGTTTTATTTTTTGTCCACTTATTATTTTTTTATTAATAAAAAAATAAACTACCCTTTCCATGTGTGTGTTAAGCAAATTTCCAATTATCAAACTCATGACTTTGATTAATCTTATTTAATGCTATACTAGGTTACTAACTATGTAATTAATAAGTATAATTAGGATGCAATTGTACAGTTTTGCTATGAAACAATCAAGTGCCGCAATTTATGAAATCATCTACATTTTTTTCACAAATAACATTTAACAAATGCTCTCAAATAAATACACTTAAAAATTGACGTCAATACAGAAATTTATGAATGGCTCCCAAATTTTGGTATAATTGATGTCGAGTCGACTCGTAATAGTATTAGGATAAAAAATTGCATGCTTATACAATTAAATGTTATAATTTTGTTTATATTATGTTATCTTTTGTAGTATGGCAATTTTTTAATGAATTTATGCACATTTGTGATACATTTGTTATTATCTTTATAGTATGACAATTTTATGAGGCATATCATAAAGTTTGTGCAATATATGAATAATTCAACACGGTATATAACAATGTAATCTGTTTATAATTATTATTAAAAACAACGAGTTTTAATTAATTACGTAATAGTATAAGGTGACACGTGTAACATAGGGTAACCTTAGATGCGAAGGGATCTTATTTGGTGTCATAATTAGAGGAATACACGGTTTTATAATTATACATACATTGTTTATTGGCAGCTATAGTTAGCCTGCGACATTTGTATAATTAGTCAAATTGTTATTATGATTAATAATTTCATTCTATTTAGCTAGGTACAAATTTCCTGATTCCTTAGCTTGAACACTGTTGTACTTACATATTTTTCTTTGTTTTTAGTATTTTACCAATTGCTATTTACCCTTCATGATTTCATTTTATAACTACCTTCCCTTAAAAGAGTTGAAAATGTGCCCAATATTGTGTTAACGTCAAGCAAAAATAATAATTTGACTGAGAGCATGATCATTAACAGTACTTGACACAAATGTATGGCAATGAAACACACTTGTGATTCTCGAAATCTAGAATTTCCCTTAATTATTGGCCACTAATACATTTGCTGGTTTTTGTTTCAGACATAATAATTTCATATATAGTCGTCAGATTTTGATTGGTGGCAAAACGTAACAAGTGGTCTAGCTCATTTATGATCAGAAATTTGCAATTGATATAATGTGTTTAACTTTCAAGTTTACCTAGTTATTAAAGGCACCTAGAAATGTGAAATTAAAGTTGTGAGTTTGGCTAGTGAAATTAAACATTTTTTTTATTATTCGATTTTTTAAGGTTTGAATTTGACTCGTTAATCAACTTAAACTCGTTTATTGATTCGTTTGGTTAATAAGTTGAGTTGTAAAAGCTGAGTTACGGCCTCAGATACTGTGGCTTATGTGACACGTACTTAGCATTAATCCAACTTGTTTGTATTTGATAAGCCTCAGATACTGTAGCTTATGTGACACGTACTTAGCATTAATTCAACTTGTATTTGATAAAAATAAGTAGATATAATTATGAACACAATAATGAATTGCGTGTGAAACGTGTAATCAACACGTTCTATGAGAATTTTAGATTGGGCCACTTCTGGGGATGTTGCAATTTTAGATTCAGCGTAATCTCGATCTTATGATAATAGCCCAATAATCAGAAAAAATTGATCTACATAATTTTTCATGTTTCAGTAGAATAAATGAACTTTAAATTTAATAGGGCTAAAAAAATGAAACATAACCGGGCCTTTTTTCTTTCCAATTATTCACTTAGAACTTACAATATGAAAGTTAGCAATGTATATATGATACCATGAAAATAGTTATTTTTACCTTATTTTGAAGTCCTGCTAAATTTTTCACACCGCCCAATAAAAAGGTAAGTTTTTTACCCCAGAAAGTGCGAAAGGCATTGTGCGATGAATATGCGATAGTTGCGCGATGACATTGTGCGAAAGTTAGAAGTGCGAAGGCATTTGCATATCTATCACATTTTCTGGGGTGAAAAAAGTTAAAGTGCGAAGGCATTGTGCGATGAATATGCGATAGTTGATCGATGACATTGTGCGAAAGTTAGAAGTGCGAAGGCATTCGCATATCTCTTCGCACTTTCTGGGGGGGAAAAAGTTAATGTGCGAAGGCATTGCGCGATGAATATGCGACAGTTATGCAATTGATATGCGATAGTTATGTAGTCCATTCGCATAACCTTCGCACTTTCCGGGGTGAAAAAGTTAGATTGTTAGTGGACAGTGTGAAAAACTTAATGTATCTTTGTATTGGGGTGAAAAAGATTTTTTCCAATCATTATATATATTAAGTGCTCAGTTCTCAACTCCGTTTCAGTTTGTCGGAGTTCGTAAGTCTGGTATGATACAGATTTTGAGACGATCGTCGTTGTATCTTTGGGGACAATACGCTTGAACTGTTAGCATTATACGGTGTGCATTCGTCTTGCGGAAAGAGTTCACTCGTCTCGACTAGAATCTTTATGTTTTTTCAAGTTGCAATTTAATTTCAATTTTATTGTAATTTTGTATTTCTTAGTTCAATTGTAAGAGTTCACTCGTCTCGGCTAGAATATTTATGTTTTTTTCAAGTTGCAATTTAATTTCAATGCCATTGTAATTTTCAAATTTTTAGTTCAATTGTAATAACCGAAAAATACACTTCAGTTTGTAGGATATCCATTATCCACTGCACCCAATTTCTAACACTTTCTAGGACTAAGAACCAAACACGGCCTTAAATTGACAGTGTTGATTAGCGTTTGGTTAATTCACAGATTTTGCAGACGACGTGTTTGTTGATTAATCAAGAGGATATCATCCGCAAAGAGCTTATCCCTTTTCTTTTTTCATTTCCACTTACATAACGGTCAGTTGAAACATCCATCAACAACAAACAGAGATTGGGGGAGATTTGAGCTATGGAGATGGGAAGCTTCAAGCTTTCCTTTTCTCTGCAGAGTCATGGCGGCAGCTTTCTGTTCCCATTTCCCGCCTCAAGATTCCACTTTCCCTTTACGGGTAATAATAATCTCTACCTATTTTCAGCAAAACTTCAAAATACCCAAACTCATAGAGTAACTCGTGTTCTTCCCTGTCCTTTTCCGTTTTATGCTTATGATAATTGTTTATTCGACCCAGGCTGAAGCTTCTCAGGATTTGTTTTGTTCAGGCTTAATATCATGCGAGCTAATAGATTAGATAATGTTGTAATATTTACATAATTCGAGTTTTGCCGGTGGGATTATTCTTGAATGTCTGTTTAGTGATATAGTGCTGAACGAAGGTTTTTGAGTGTGTGTGTGGCATTGTATCAAACTTCTTGATAGAATTTTGTGCTGTGGCAATAATACACTAGCTATTTGTTCGAACGTCGTTTAGTTTCTGGCACGTGACGATTATTCCGCAACTAAAATTCAGGCACTAGGGAGTGTCGGCCCTTCATCATCCAGACTCAGGTCGCAGTGGATCCTCATAGACTGAGCTACACGAGCCCCCAAGCAAAAAGATCGCAACTTTTCATAGCTAGAGGTAAATATTTCTGTAAGAATAACATATACTTCTTCTGGGCTTTGAAAGTACTTAAAGAAAACGTGACTGGGTTTATCTATCCAGCTTCAACACAGCCCTTAACTGAGGAGCTAGTGGAATATAAAAAGACGAGTCTGTCCACAAGTGGTGATGCTATCCGTACAAAATTCCTCGAGTTTTATGCAACGAGAGGCCACAAAGTAATCCCAAGTGCATCTCTTGTTCCGGAGGATCCAACCGTTCTGTTAACGATAGCTGGAATGCTTCAGTTCAAGCCTATTTTTCTTGGGAAGGTTCAATAACACCCCTCCCAGCTTCTAAGTTTAGGTCCGTGACTATTGCAAAAAGAAAATTCCAGGCTACATTACTCACGTATGTAAAGAGGAAATCTTTTTTAGGAGATTTGATGTGCTTTTGTTTTGAAGATGTTCTGTCCGCTAGATAACTGTGATGGGAGAGATTTTTAGAAAAAACAAAAAAGGAACGAAATATGAGATTGGTAGGAGATGAAATGTAATGGTGAAAGTTGGTTTGATACAGAAAGAGCAATGTAATGGCTGAATGTGATTTTCAAATAAAAATATGCGAGGGAGTGATTAGTGGAGCCTATGGAAAACGTTTCTTAATGACTAGTGAATTTAATAGTTTGTTGGGAGGAGAGAGATGCACTCAGTCGCAGCTTCAGCTTTAACGTGTATTTTTTCATGATTGAGCAGTGTTTGTTAGTCACCTGTCCCACTTCTCATGAATCGGGATTACTTATAGATGGTCTCAGATAAATAATATTGACATTGTCATTTGAATCATGTCAGGTGCCTAGAGAAGTTCCCCGTGCTGCAACTTCTCAGAGATGTATACGGACAAACGATGTTGAGAACGTGGGTCGAACATCTCGACACCAGACGTTCTTTGAGATGCTTGGAAATTTTAGTTTTGGGGATTATTTCAAACGAGAGGCTATAAAATGGGCATGGGAGCTTTCAACCAAGGAGTATGTACTAACCTGA